ATCAATTTAAGTCACGGAGGTAATGTCAGTTAACCAGAAACCGCGACGATCAGTCCTACCAATTTAATGCATCATTCTGTTAAAACAATACTGTATTTGGGTCCAGCCATGGTCAGAATATACATAATTACAAAAGATGACTAGTAAGGAACAGTGATTGATAACATGCAAGAAGAGTAACATGTAGTAGAACGTACAAAGGCTAACAATGACAACATCAGTGAGGTGGCAGAGCAATGGAATGGTTAAATCTTTGTTCTGAGAATATGGCAGCAACAACTAATCAATTAAATCAATAAAAGTTCATTAAAAAGTAGCTGGCAATGAATCTGTACATTATTTAGGTCTGGTTAGTTAGCTGTGCAAGAGGACCCTGAGTGAACGTGTCACTGAAACGATCCAAAACTGAAAAAGGGCTGAAGTCGGGGGTACAACAGGGGAAGGTGGACAGCTGAAGTTGTCTAAAGTCTGGGAGCCCGAATTTTACAGACATAAAGAAGACTGCTAAGTGCTAGGCCAAGTATGGAAGTCTTATCTGTCACGGCACAGGAGCACAATGACGATAATACATGAGTGCCTAAAGAGAACACGAGTTGGAGTTATAGATGAAGGGGATTCTGGAGTATGCCAAGTCTACAACATTAGCTTTACACATTGTGAGGAAATGTAAGACACTAAACTACAGTGACAAGCAGGCTATACATTTGAGTTTGAAGGGCAAGGCTACTTGGCCTTCGATTTCATACTTTTTCACACAGGGGACAAAGGTCACCTGACTGAGCCTTAAGGCTGAGACAAATTACATGATGCATTTTTTTATGCAGCTTATCTTACACAGCTTTACTGTGCCTGAGCAGTAACGTTACAAACCCGGGTTTGGTGTTCATAACATATGTTTAATTTAAAGTGCAGATGTCCATAGAACAGTTAAAATATGCAGAGACAGTACAGTAACTGTGCACCTTTAGACTCAAAGGCATGCTGAGCTCTAGGTGCTCTCTGCTGATGTTGCCCAAGATGATGGATTGGAGGAAACATAGATGTTTTAAGGACAAAAACGGAAAAGACGTCTAATTCCTCATAATTATCCTGGTGCAATAATCATATTCTTCTGGCATCATGATGACAAAATGACCAGCATCATTTCTAGGACTGTGAAAAATAAAAATAAGTGTATAATGGCTGCCTATTAAGGCTTTCACCTGGTTATTAAATAATAAATTTTACTTTTATACAAATTCTCTCATCTCACAGTGCAAATTCTGCTTTTACACTGCATAATGACTTGTTACTGACAATATTAGTGCTTATTTAGCATATATAATATTTCAAATAGAGAAAATGTGGTACATTTCATCATTACATGTAACATATTACAGCTTCTGAGGTTTCTTGCAGCTTGTAGACAAAACCAAATATTACATCCTTTGATCTGCTTAAAACTAAAGGCAACTTTATTATAGTACATGTAGCCTGACTGATACACACTGGGCTTAAAATAGTGCATAGTCAATGTAAACCACAGATGTTTACCAACAGTTTGTAAAAATGCTGAGGTTACCAAGCGGTATTAAAGACTGAATAACCTTAAATTCTACAGCATATTCTGCCAACTTACATGAACCACGGAGGTTTTATAAGCAGCACTCCCTGGTGAACAGCTTTTATCAACCACCGTTCTACTTAATAGAGCCATAAACACACACCTACGTGACAACTGAACATGACTGATCATTTAAAGAAATCGCTCCTCAGATCTGAGGGACTTGAGAAGATTTGATGGAGTTAAGAACCCCCTAACATGAGATGAGGACCCACCGGCCACTGCGGCCGTGTAACTCCAACAGATCTACAGGGCATCATGACCAGATGCCAGGGCGATGACCACCATGGATACCGGGGTGAAAGGTTATCTAATTAAACCCATTTTATACTTAGGAACTTCAATGTGGGTAGTGGTGGTACAAACACATTCATGCTGTTTTTTGTTGTGAGGTAGTCAGCAAACACAGAATCAACCCTACACATAACACCACATACGGTTGTCACTCTAACCGGCTGCTCTCTTTACTATAAGAACATGTTAAAACTATTCACTAATTGTCAGGCATATAAATTACTTCCAGAATTACTGTATTTTTGCACAGTACTTGCCACATGCCACTTTCTGCCACTGGTTAACAAATAGAAGAAAAAAAGAATAAAGGATGTCCTTATTCAAGAATGCTAAAAGTGCAAATAGACTAGAATTATGTGACACACCAAGTTATAGGGTTGTGTCCATATATGACAATATACTGTATATGCGAGTTCACACATAGAGAGCACAACATAATGTATATTATGAAAACAGTTGTTAGCTGTGACCCTAGTTGATACTGTGTGTATGCAAGTGGAGAACAGCATCAATAGTATGGTGGAAATTTAATGCATTGTTCCATTAAATCAATTAACTGGAAATTCAAAATGTTGATTTTTGAAGTGTATGAGTCACTGTGCTGCATTAGGTGGATTCCCATACCTGACCTCCAGTATCAGGGGGCAGGGATTTTCCTGGGTGTGTGTGTGTTTGTGTGGGTGAAGCCGGGTCAGGTACATTGGCAGAATGCTGGGCATTGGACGGGAGCCCAACTACAAATCAAATGTAAGGTAAAGCGATTAAGCGAATAACTATTTTTACCATCACTGAGATTTCTAGACACTATTCTTACTATAATTTTGCAAGGTAATTGATAAATATTTTGCCCTAATGTTTGTCAGTTTCTTAAAGTTCAGACATACAAGCCAAATATAAGACAAGCAACTGCAAAGTCACTAACAACCTCTGGAAGAGTAAGCTTGAGTACAAACAAAAAACAAGCCCCTTCTAAAAACAAGATAACTTCTGGTAATCTGCACGTAAGAAGCCATAAAAATGAAGCATGTTAAAGTCTAATCAGTTTTCATTAAGTACTGATCAAATACCGGGAGATTTTACCGTGTGTCCAAGTCAGTGCAACTTAAGCAAACCAAAGCACTATCGCAGTTAAAGGGGGGGAAGTTACTCAACTTTAACCACAAGAAAAGCCAGCGACAACCGTGAGAGAGACCAAACAGTGCTTAACATCTGCTCTGTGTGTGTGTGTGTGTGTGTGTGTGTGTGTGTGTGTGTGTGTGGTCGGGCCTCTTGTCTCTCTCTCTCTCTCTCTCTGTGACCCGCTGAACATGACTAGCTGCCATCTTGGCTCACAGACACAGGGTAGTGAGGGTAGCCGCTCCTGGCTCTTTGGTAAACAGGAGGAGGAAAAACAACGAATCAGCACAGCCACTAAGAGTTGATAAAACCACAGTGTGAGAATGAACAGGAACGAATGGTTTTTGGAGATGTAACGATCTAGTGTTTTCTCCCCCTCTCTCGGCGATTTCTCGCGCAGCCAAAGTTGTGAGAGCGACAGGGTGACCATTATGCAAGTTGGCCGAATACACAACACATAATGGAGAAAGGGGGCAGACCAACTCAAGCAGCACACGCAGTAAAGCCAATCTATAAGGAAAGAAACATGTCCGCCGTTTGTGAATCACATAAAGACGTGCAACTATCGAGACGAACAAGGGCACCGGCAGGTATTTTGGGCTGCGTTTTGCACCGTCCACGCCGGGTATCAAGTGTAATCGTAGTGTTCAAACTTGGGTCGACTGTACATTATAAACAACCTCTAAACAAAAGCCAACAGGCAGAAAATACTTTTGAAAAATATAGACTATCGTTATTGTTGCCTTTTAACCTCGACAAAAAGTGAAGCGAGAGACGCGTAAACTTAATTTCCTTGCCTGAGAGCTATGCACCGAGTGACAACCGCCCCGAGCAGCTAGTTCAGGAGGCTAATAAGTGGTCTACACAATGACGACGAGACCTCGCTAGCAGCCTAGCTGAACTTCTGTGTCCTAGCACTGGGCTCATCTCCAGCGGCTAGCGCGGCTAATTAGCCTATCAGCGGCATTTCGCACGTCGTTTCGGACGAGGGAACGACTCGCTCATCTCGGTCTTTATTTGAGTAAAACACCTCCATCTATACCCCAAAGCTTACCACTAGCACGAGGGTTTATTTCGTGCACTTTTCCATAGGTTTGGTAAAGTAAAGCGTGGTAGAAACAACCTGAAAAACACGGCTATATGGAATGACCGCCTGGCCTCTGCTTCCCCCCTCCTCTCCTCCACTGCTGTCCCTTCCGTCCAATAAAACCAGCGACTACAGCGGACACTTCACACTGTGCCCTCTCTATAAAACAATAGTTCCATTAAGATACAGTCATTATTGATACTTTTTTTTACAGAAATACTTTAATTCAACCCAAGCCAAGCGTCTCTGGCAATATCTGTCAAGTATTCTCCGCTGGGATTCTCCCTCAGAGCTCCGCTCATTCAGTCGGCCAGTGACTCACCTCTACGCTCGAGCCACCTCGTGTCTTCCCAGAGGCTTCAACACAATTAGCTACAGGGGCTAACACTCACACTTTAAAACTGAATCAAGTCAGTACCTCATATTGCTAAATTCAACAAGTTGTCGGGGAAACCGACTCAGAAACAGAGACGCTCGGTGTGTTGTACTGGAAATTTTTCTTTCCACTTTTCAACTAGCTAATGGGACTGTTGTGCGCGTGTAAGCGATACAGCGGGTGGCAAAGCTAAACTTGCTATTGTTAGCATTTCGGCATGGCAGCTACATGGACCTTCAATGACTTTCTGTTGAAATGAGAAAACAAAACAGACGCCGAATAAGCCAGCAGTACCGAATATACCGTTAACCTTTCCACTGAGGTATCCGTGAATGAGATGCCCATCCGGCTGAAAACCCAACTCGCAAGGCGCTGAAAAAGTATCTAAAACTTAGTATTCAGAAAGAAAATACATTGTTTTCATTCACAACCAATTGTTACACTGAAACCACCGCACTCAGGCTGAACTGTGCTCGACAAACAGTAATATACACTCATTCAAAAAGGGCAATTTGTTAGCTTACCCAACAAGCTCGGTGACTTCGAGCTTTTATCAAATCAACTCCTCGTTAGTATCTCCGCTTGCTTAAAAAAATCCACCGTGACCCTTTTCCGTTTCAAATATAAATAAACAGAAAAAAAGTTCAAGTTTTATGTTTTTCATGAAACGTTTCTCCGGCGCGTCTCACATCTGCGACCTCGCCGACTAGGGTGCGTTGCTCTTCTCTCCTTTGTGTTAATTTCACTCAAATCGAGTTTAATCCGATCGATCCCTCGGCTGGTCGCGCTCCCGAGTCCTCCCCTCCAGACACTCGCTCACCTTCCTTGGCCAGGGGGGCGCGCTCCCGAGGACCTCTCATGCTGATAAACAGTCAGCGTGCGCGGTCACTGACCGGGCCGTGCCCGTGTGACGCTCTTTTGAGTTCTCATTTAGGGATGAAAAGAATACATCTGCGTCAACTACAATGTGGTTTGATGTTTAAAGCTGTGAATCCGAATTAGATTTTGTTGCCTTATTTTAAATAATTTTAATGTTTAGAAATAATAACACTACAGAAGCTGGAAACCAGTTTGGAAGCCCAAAATCAAGGGAGCACAATTTTTGCTTCCTTTATATTTTACCAATTTTGTTAACATTTTTAAATGATTATATTTATTATGTATATCTAAATAAATAGCTGCTTTAATAAATTAATGTTGGACGTGGTGATAGGTTTAACTTTGATAGCCATGGTTGTGCCATGATGCTGTAGATTTAAGTGTTTTACATGCCTTTAATTGGACAAGAGTTTCTTCCAACTTGTAATGTCTTTGGTATTAAAAGTTGTAAGGGCTATTGAAATGGGCTGATCGTAATAACACTGAAATTCATGATAAAATATAAGTAAATGTGGAATTATAACCTTGAATTTTTCTGAAGATCTGTCAGAAACCTTTCAGCACCCTTGCAACACTGATTCAAAAAGTCTCCATCACGATTGTGCAAATAGGAAAAGCATCAAGCAAACAGGAACAGGAAACCTCATTTGAATGTTTCAGATTATGCATGACATGAGAACAATGTCTGTGTAAAATATGGTGGGATAGGCCTTTGTCTTTCCTTTTATGTGAACATTATAATGAATTGTACTGAAGAGCCATACAGGTGACAAATAAAAGGAAAACCCACCATGAAGTGTCTTAGGGAGCTGCTGGGCCACCACGTGCCACCAGAACAGCTTGGAACTGACTCTCCAAGTCTCTGAACTCTACTGGAGGGATGGGCACCATTCTTCTAAAAGATATTCCCTCACTTGGTGTTTAGATGATGGTGGTGGAGATGCAGTCTAACACATCACCCCAACATATCTCCCATAGGTGCTCACCTGGGCTGAGACCTAGTGACTGTGAAGGCCACAGCATATGATTCACATCATCTTCATTAAATCATTCAGTGAGCCCTCCAGTCCTAAGGATGGGGGCACTGTCATCCTAGACAAGGCTACTCATTTATTCAGATTTTTCCATGAGTTTGTCACCATCTGTATATTGTACTGTATATAGCATCTAGCAATTAAACTGAACCTAATGATTTCTCAACTGGATGGATTGGCAGAACATTTAGAACAGATTATATACTTGTAACTGTCTCTCAAACTTTAGTGTGTTTTTGCAGTGAATAAAGGACAGGCTGCCATTTTGGGCGCATGATATAATGTGATTTATTTATGATTTGCAGACATAGAAACCCCAAAGATAATGTGTTAAAGTCAGAAGGTGATCTTTTACAACGGACCTGCACTGATTTGACACATCAAAGTCTGTTTTCTGGTCTTGGTTAGTAGCATTATATATGTGGGAAAAAAGTTGTATAAAGTCTTTTGTGTCTTCAGAGAGCATTGAGTGAAGTCCAATAAATTACCTCCAGCAATGTCACTTGAGTCTAACTTAGCTGGGCCTGAAGGGTAGAAGTTTGAAAATAAAATAAAAAATCTGGAAGTTTGGACTTACAGAAACCAATCTTGACCTCTTTACTTGCTCCTCATCCCTTCTTGAGGCTAGAGACTAGAGGCTGCATTAGGTGCTACTAGCATAACACACCCAGATTTGTACAGTTATGTGAATCAGGTTTCATTGTGGGTAATGTAGGTGCCAGGGTTTGGCAAGGAAGAGGAATGTGTGGAATGAAAAAACCTCTCTAATTCAGCTGCCCTCATGTTGATTCTTAAAAAGACTGTGACAGTGTCACAGCAGTGCAATGGTAAATCAACGGAGTGCTCTAATAAAGTCTGGCTGAAACCAGCTCCAGGAGTCTGAGTTAGACAAATCAGCTGCATACTCTCCAAATGTTCTGTCTTTCTGCTATGAAAATAAGCTAGAATTGAAAAAATTCATATTTGTCTGGTAATATTTCACATTTGGAATCATTACATAGCACCGGCACATGAATCACATGCAGGTATGAGGTGTGGGACCCCCTATAGCTCCCAGTAATATAATATTGAAGTAATACCTTAGGAGATTGAAACCACACCATAAAGAAGGATATGGTTATAAATTAACTACACAGAACAAAGTGCAGGTGATATAGTGTAGCACCCTGTCTGAATCAGTTTGGACTGAGCTAAAAATTATAAAATTGTGATGAATATCGCAGGAATACGAGGGGCTGGCAGTGCTGCGGATGTCCTTGATGCAACCAGTAATTTGCTTATTATAACAATAGACCTACACACACACACCACGGAGATACACTTTGTCCTAATGTGTCAATTCTTTCCATACTTTCTTTCTTCTTTCTGCAAACAGCACATTTCACCTTACGTTCCTAATATGATTAAATACTTGCAAATTGTATTAGATGAAACTACAGATAACACTGAATTACTGTAAATACACTTTGCACACTAGAAGACATTTCAATAGCTGTCACTGTGTATAAATTGCCAAATAAGACCATTTTTAGTGTCATCCACAAATGATACATATTAAACATTTCTGCTGACTGATTGTAATGATTTTGTAACTAATTTCCCAACCTTTAAGACATTCCCCATTTTTAGCTAATTTCAGTCAACATGTAGAAACCCCCCCCCGTGACCGCACTCAGGGAACAAACGGTAGAAAATGAATGAATGAATGAATGTAGAAACTTGAAACTTACATAAGTTAGGTAATCACTCACTGTGTTTTGTCACAAAGTTATGTTATCGTAGCACAATTTTGATGGTGAAATTGCAGATGTGAAAATATGTCATCACAAGCTTTATCATCCTATAAAAGTAAATATGATCATTTTATTTCATACCCTGATACATACCCTCTGTTATAAGTCTGTTTGCTAACATGGTGGAATGATGGGTTGGTTTTTAATGTACAGTATTTGATCAGAGTTTTGGAGAATTTTGACATTTATGTTTCAGCTATTTAGTCTGCTATGTCTTTAGTCACTTTTAACTTCTAGCAGCCGTCTCTTGTTTATCTGTGTCAACATACAGTATATGGACCTCACACCACTTTACTCTGTGCAGAATTACAACTGTTACAGGTGAGTTTCTCCAGGAAAGTGGTTTGCAGTAAATATCTGATTATGATTCTGGGTCACTACTTGTTGAACATGTGTGGTTGACTCTGGTGATATTTCCTTTTGTCACCTAAAGGTGGAAAGTAACTTGGTGAATTCAAGGTCTTAACTTGAATATTGTCATTTTATCCTGCTTTACATTTACATTTCAGAGGTAAATATGGCACTTATCTGTATTTATTTTACCACTCACTAGTTATATAGATGTAATGTAATGTTACATGTAATGTAAACCATGAAGCAGTGTTACGGGCTAAACTAACCAACGCTATATGAAGCAGCTAGAAGTGGTTCTACCTCACTGAGTCCTCACTACTTTCTGTTAAAAACATTTTCCTAAAGCATTCAACCACCATTAGATGGTCTGATAATCACTCAATAATAATCTAAGCTGTATAAGACAGTTTGATAAATGTCTGGTTTTAGTCAATAATGCCATCAACTCAAATATGAGAGGTGTCTATTGCAGGTAATTGCAGGCCTCTGGTGTTAAATGGCACTGGGACAGAACTGAGTATGACCATCCCAAGAAATGATAAAACTGATTCATACTGCATGTGTGCAAGAGGCCTCAAAGGTAAGTGATAACCGTTAAGTAGGGATGAGTATTCACACTTGTAGGAAATAGCATCTCTGTGAGGCTCTACAGTGTAAAAAAGAAATGATGAAAAAAAACATCTAAATTCCAAGGCAAAAGACTTCCATAAGTTAAGGTTTGAGTTTACTTCATCCAGCATAGTTTTGTTTTTTCTGTAAACTTACTCCAAGTTAGAATGATGTACTGTTTTACATGATCACCAATTAGAATATTTACTTGTTATTTTACTGAAAATGAGAAAATAAAGATTTTAGTGGAATTTTAAGCTTGGTGAAATGCATGCTGGGAAGTATGTAACTAAGCTAACAATGTTTCCACATTCCTTAATAATTTAATGAGTCAACTAAATAATGCATTAGCCATTTAGTCAACTGAACTAATAACTTTAAATTACACTGAAATTTTCATTGTTCTATTTAGCATAACGTGTGGTTTGTTTCCTGTATTCCCTAACTGAATAACAAGCCTACAAGAGAACTTTCTTAGCTTGTAATGAATAGATTAGGATTTCAATTTATCAGGACTCACTCGCTTTCATTGAAGTAACAGACAAGCGTGACAATTTACATCTAAGGCTCTCTAATGTATAACTTACATCAAATAATGTAAGTTCCAGTTTTTACAGTGTAGCTAGTCACAGCAGTGCTTTGAGCTAAACGCTAATGTCAGCATGGTGCCTTAATGCTAACTGCTGATGGAACGCAGTTCATCTCAACTATAACTATCATCTTGGCATATTTTCCTCAGTATTCTAACACAGACTAATTGGCACAGAACACAGACTGATGGAATTTTCAGTAGTTTTCCACATATTTAGTCAAACTAAATTATTGAGCAAAGCAAAATTATATTAAAGCAGCACACGAAAAGTTATTAGTTCATCAGGTGTGATGGCACCAATGTGTGCAATACGTTTTACATCAGTCCATCCAATTGTAAAATATCTCTGCAAAATATAAAACAGTAGTGCTACAGGTAAAGTCACCAGAATTCACCTGTTTGGAAATATGAATCTTTCTACAAAGTCCTAGCAAAAATGATTATCAAACTTTTATTTTGTAATTCTAACACTAAAACAAAAATAGGGAAATTTCATTTTTCATTTGAGCTAAAGGGGAGAGAGCCTGTTTTAAATCCACTGTAGCATACGGTAAAGCCACCATGTGCTCCAGCACCATGTGTTGGCCTGACTACTCCGATACTGAAGCTGCTCTCTATGCCCTTCAAACACAAAAATAACAAGGGGGCACATGCGTATTTGACCTCTGGTCTTAAGAGCCATTAAATGTAATGTAGTTCACAAAGTGATGTCATAGCTTCCTTTGACATCAGTGCTGAGATGAGGTTGAAGCCAGCAGCATCCAGGCTGGTAGGTGCTGTTCCAGTTTCCGCATGGGCTCTGGGCTGCCAGGTTGTTCTTCTGTGCAACACTTATCTTAAATCATACTATTGTAGTCAAAACTGTTTTAAAAAAACCTATAAACATTAAACTTGAGTTTCCATAATCCAATATGGCTTCACTTGGATGTAAAAAAGGAAAGATGGTCAATTACATGCAGTAATTACAACTGTGCTTTTGGTACAGACATCCATGTCCCTTCACGATGAGCTGTAATTACTTCATACTATGGTTTATGAATAAACACATCAAATACTGTGCTCACAGTTCATCAGTCATTATTCTGACTGACTAGAGGGTTTTAAAAGGCTTTACTGATGACTTAAAGAGTTAGATATATAGATGTCATGCTAGAAGAAGATTAAATACCAGGCTACAGGATTTTTCCACAACCCAAGATATTTTCTTACAAATGGATCATTATTGATCTTTGTCAAAGCCTTAGTAAATTATTTAATTACAAAAGCCATTAGCTGTAACTTAGGAAACCATTTATAAAACGTGTGCCTTATTAGCAAATGTTACACAGTTTTCTAGCTCCAGTGCTTTTTGCTAACATGTTAGCATGAGCTAAAAAGCTCATGAACACAAAGTGAACATTCAAACCTTCACTAACTAGATGGGAGTAAAATATGTTTCATTCAATAAGCAGGATCTCAGTCTGGCAGACCTTCAACAAGGAGTACAATCTCCACAAATGTTGAAGGTCAAATGGCACAGATCCAAGGGCACACATGCTCATTTTAATGGATAATTCAGACAGTAAAACAGCATGTGGGCCCATTATGATTGACTGATTCACACAATAAAAAGTCAGCAGCACACACAGGGTAGGCCAGTTAGCAAAAAAAAAAAACAAAACAAAAAAAACAAACAAAAAGTACAAATGCATTTTTTTTCCCCAAAGAATTTTTCCAGTGCCACATGACCATCAAAATGACATGTTTAGAGTTTAGAATGTTTTATTATAGTTTATTGTGATAGCATTTTCATTTTTTCTTTTTTCAGTTTTATTTTTTCCAAAGAACAAACACAGCAAATAACATTGAGGGGGAGGAGGAGAGGCAGGAAGAGGAAGAAAGAACAAGAGAGGAGGACCACACAGATAAGATAGCCAGCTCAATAGATAGATCAATAGGTGCATCAGGTTTGGCTTGATCCTCCCCCCATAATCCTTCTGGGTCCACACACAAACATACACACATGCGCACGCACACACATACACATACACACTACATGTTGCTTTACAAAGAATATTATCATCAGAATAAGATTAATAACTGTCTGAATATACTGTATCTAGGAATAAAAAAAGAGACACTGTTGAGGGAAAGTCACTCTCACTGCTGTGAAATCCAAAGACTCCTCACAGTTAGCCTGAAGAGAAAACAGCTAGGATAGATAGGGAGAAATACATGTATGCATCGTCTATGTATGCATGCATACTGTATGCAGTCTGGGTGTGTGCACACATGGACGGGGTGGGAAGAAAATGTGTGGGTTTGTATTTATCTCAAATGCCCTAAAATATACACAAAATTGAAGGTAGGCCTGATTCTGACTTTACTAGTTCTCCAAGTGTGCATCTATGCATGTGTAATGCATCATCAACTGGCTAATTAGTGGCAAAATACCTACATGTATCTGCAGACAGAGAGCAAGTCTGATTCACTTTAGCAGCCGTCCAAATCTCTCATGGGGTTGGGGGTGGGGGCAGTTAAGGCAGACAGCTGATTTTAGCTCAAATTATAAGGGTGTAATTGACCACCCCCTTTTTTCCCCCCCTTTTTGGACCAAAGACAGGTAAATAATAATTTGGCATTAACCATAGGTACAGAGCTAATATAACCACACAGTCTTAGAAAGAGAGAAGGGTGGGAGGGATGACAGTTAAATAACTGAAGTAGTAAAATATGGTCATAACAGTACAATGATGCCTTTTAAATCGGGGATTTTGAAGCAAAAAACATTGCAGCAATCATTATTGAAGCTCTCAACAGTATGCATTATATATCTGCCAGGTGGTGGGAATCTTAGCTTACTTGAAAGGGAGACACCTTGACATTTTTTCCACCAGGGACTTCGAATTCACCTGCACAATTCTGTTAACAGCCCATTATCATTCATACTTTTCATTTAAAAGAAAGGACACCAACAACCCTATTGTAACAGGGTGGTTCAGTACCTTCAAGTTTAAATGAGAACTCTTAAATAGCCAAGCTACTTTGAGATCCAGAATGATATCTTGTCCAGCCCCTGGTTAAACAAATAACTAGACCACAACCACATGCCAAGGTTCACCCTAAACAGCCAGAAAACTTACAGAAACCCAAGGAGCCATATATACACACAGAAATGCGACTGATAAATACAGTTAACAAAACAAAAAAAAAATCTTGATTTCCAATACATTTTTCCTTTTACTTTTTAATTACATAATGGCAGCCACTGCTCAATGCATCCCATAACTTTACTTCTACTGTCTTGCTTTTCTGAAATGGATCCATTTTCACACGTAGCAGTTTGGTCTTTTATTCCCTCCCCAGCCAGAGAATTTAAAACACTTTTAAGCCATAGTCAGTTTGTAGTGTTCATTAAATACGAATCATCTGAAAGTCAACAAACAGGGCAAAAAGACAGTGAGAAAACAAAATAAGGGTAAAATAGGGAAAGGAAGCACAAAATGACATCATTTGCACATTGTTTTATGGACAGAAAACAGTGACTTGAATGCCTCCTCCACCTTACAACCTGACATACTGGAATACCTACAGTATATCATCCATTTACACACTGACAAAGCATGAAAACTGACTCGACGTGCAGAAACATGCCCTGCTGTCAACACACTGCTTCATTTTCTTTAAAAACATGTACAGATGTGTGTGCAGACACAACACTGTGCATATTTCATTCCATATAGTCAGTTGTTAAGCATTTAGTCCCCACACACACAATCCTGCCTATATCTGGAAGAAGTCAACTGAGTTACTGAAAATGTTTTGTTTATGATTCTGATGTTCTGAAATAGCTCAACCAGATACACGAATTAACAATTTTAAATAAGAAAATTAAAATCTGTAAACCTAAAAAACAAAAAATAAACTACAGAACTTTTAAATTTGATGGGTATATCTGCAGATGAAGTGGACTCTGTCCTCATAAGACTGTCTTAAGGTGGCTGACTTATGAGAACACAGCCCTCAGACCCTTAGGCACTGTCAAGAGACCTAGGAATGATATGGCTGGATGAAAGAATGGAGCAGGAGAGGAGGAGAGGTTAAACTATTAGTGATGCCGGACAGTTCTTTAGAAATGCAAGGAAGGGTTGGAGAGGGTGAGAATAAGGACCAAGGGTTAGGGTAGAAGAGGAGGTGTGTTTTGGTGCTTCAGCAGCAGCCCCCTCCAGCCTGTTGGCCTCCCTGGCTACCAGACAGTGTGGAGTTGGTGGTAGGGTGTTGGGGTCCAATCTTAATACCATTAGCCTGTGTTGAGACAGAGAAACAAAGAAAACAGAAATAGGCTGTAAAAACACACATGATAAAAGAAAATAAAATGCGGCAATGGCTCAGGAGTCAGAGCAGGTCGTCTGCTAAGGATTAGCAGTTCGATTCTCGGCTTGTCCTGTCCACATGTTGAAGTGTCCTTAAACAAGACACTGAACCCGGTGATGACACCGATGCGTGAATGTATGAGTTCTTGGGAGTGCGAATGGGTGAATGGCCAAATAGTGTGAAAGAGCTTCGAGTGCGCTGCAATGCACAGAAAATCACTATACAAGTGTAAGACCATTTACTTTGGTCTCAATTAAAGATAAAATGTAAAAATTCTTTGTGCACATGTAGTTTAGTTTTGCACCACCCACGCTCTGCAATCCAACAGTCCCTCTTTAATGTGACTGTGTCACGATTCTTCCATGGCATGCTCCACTTTCAGAAGCTTTTATAACCTTGGTTGCAACAGCATCCATGGTTGTAGCCAACCTGTTACTAACCCATTTACAAGACTGTCTACTGAGGGGAGTGTAGATGTGGCTATATTACTGGCAACATGTGCTAACAAATTTGAGGCTACCTCAGGAGTAAAACAGCACTATTTGTCTAGTGTACTATAAAGAACAAAAATATACAATAATGGTCTGAGAAAGCCAAGTCAACAAAAAAATAAAAGCTAATACTAACATTTGATATATCCTGATCTGAAGTGGGAACACATGGTTTAAAACCCATATAATCTCATAAGACATTTGCTTTGGAACCTGCCTTAGTGTCAGCATGAATAGTAAATTTATCTAAAATAGAACTATCACTTTTAGCTTGAATATCAACTACAACACAGTGGTTAGCACCGTTGCCTCACAGCGAGAAGGTTCCGGGTTCGGGCCCCACCCGGGACCCTTTCTGTGTGGAGTTTGTATGTTCTCCCCGTGCTTGCGTGGGTTCTCTCCGGGTACTCCGGCTTCCTCCCACAGTCCAAAGACATGCAGCTTAGATTGATTGGTGTCTCTAAATTGCCCATAGGAGTGCGTGTGCGTGTGTGTGGTTGTTCATCTATGTGTTAGCCCTGCGATGTATTGGCGACCTGTCCAGGGTGTACCCCGCCTTCGCCTTATTGCCGGCCGGAATTGGCTCCGCCCCCCGTGACCCCGTTCAGGGACTAAGCGGTAGAAAATGAATGAATGAAAGAAAAAATCTGAAAAGTCAGTGTTACTGTTCAAAGAGGTGGGTGACACTTCAATGTTACTGCATCATATTCAAACGTCAAGAAAGCTCCAAGTTAACATTTCTTCCTTTTAGTTTCAGAATACTGGCAGCTGTCTCGCCACCCTTCCTTCCCTCAATGCATGAAAGAGAGAAAGCATAATGTAGAGGACAGGCGTCAAAGGACCAGAACTTTTTAGAGTGTCTGAAGACTCAACTGGGCATGTGTGATATCTCTACGAACCTATGAGGATCTAGTGTACTGTAAACAAAGCAGAGAGCATGCACAATTGATTCTTGCTTACTTCAGACGCTGTAAAAAGTTATGGTCATTTGGAGCTTTTAGGGCAACATTTTTACCAAATATGCAGATCTAGTGTTTCATAATGAGGAACCATATTCCCCAGTGCAGCAGTGTGTTTTAAAACATTTTTAAACAACAACATAAACCTATGGTTAAATTTATCCAGGTTGGAGACTAACAGAAATTGAAGCTGCATTAACTAAGATTCAGCAAAATTTGAATAAACCAAATAAAAAATTGCCTAGAGTAGAAGCAGTTCATTGGTAATGCTTGTCAATAGTTGTGAATGAAGAACCAATGACAAGTTGCCTTAAATACAACTAACATTTTGCTAGTGCTTTGTAATTGATATTGGTCAAATTAGTTTTATTTTATACCATGCATTTAGCAGGATATTTGCATTCATTTCTCCAGTTGTGTTGTTGAAATGTTGGAGATTGTCAGGGGTTTGGGGTCCTGGGGCAGCACCCTGGCTGGGGGCCCATGGGGCAAAGCCATCAGAAGCTCCTGACTTTTCATTAAAAACTATTGAATTTTTGGCCTCAGCTGAGAGCTGTCCACTTAATGATTTTACAATATACAACAAAGCAATTAGCAAACTCTCCCACATCATTAATGCTTAAAATACAGGCATTTACTGACAAGTATTCATTACAAATTTTAATATGAACAATCTCTCTTTCTTCCACAGTATGCATAGTGGACACATTTCATTTAATTAAAAAAATACTGATGAAACAAAATCCACAAAATACAATAAGGGCCTGTCCCAGACAGGTTGGTTACAGATTTTCTCTACTAATTTCAACTAGACAGCATAATCGCTGATACTGTTACCATGAAATTTAGAAAAAATGGTAAAAATGGTCAAACTATTCAACTTCTGAGTCTGAATTCTGTTAAATGAATACAGCAAAAAAAAAAGAAGACTCATTTCATGGCCCAAAACCTAAAAAGGAAGTGCGCTCCACAGCATTCATTGCACGACCTCTCTTTCATTTCCTGTGTCAGTTTTGTTAAATGATGTAGATATTTCATTTGTAGATTTGTCATTTTTGCTGAAAATGTAGTTAATTTCAATAAAATAAGGATGTCTTCCATGAGTCAAGATATTATCCATGGCAGATGACAACTTTTTAAATCACTAGATGGACGTTGTAAATGTCTTACATGAATGGATTTAAACTGAGTGTTGGGACGTGTTGAAATTTTGCCACCAAAAAAGATTTGTGGAGTGGACCAATCAAAAGCAGGTTTACTAATTTATCAGGAGTCGATTTCAATCTGGAACACACATACAAGGTGCGTTTTGGTCTGACGTCCTGGCAAACATCGGGTTGCACAAATTATTTTTCACCTTCTTTATACAGCGATGCCCCACAAATCTTCTCATAGGATTTATGTTGATAGCAGAAATGACCCTTGGGACCCCAAAACCTCCAGAATTCCGGCAAAACCCGCCATGCAATACTTTACATTGTGTTTTTTTATGCAATTTATTTGATTTTTAAAACTAACAAACTGTGGTTTTATAATGACATCCCACCCCCACCAAATGTTTTTAGCATTAACTAAATGCAGTGAGTGTCATTGCTTTTATGGGGAGATTAACACTGCACAGCGCCTGCAGGGGCTCCTATTAGATCACATCACAGAGGAAGCAACAGGTGCTGCTGTGCTACACAAAGGCAAAGAAAACACCTGCAGCACTCAAGGACACAAGGAGAAAAAAGAAAAGCACATAAAAGAAGAGAGAGTGAGAGGTGGGCGGGTGGGTGGTGGAAACAACTCTTTCACCTCTCTCCCTTTGCTCATCCCTTCAATTGGATCTCTTCCTCTCTCTCCATGTACTGTAGTGCTCACTTTCCATCCCCGTGTTTCATCATGCCTTTCTTGCTCTACCACACTCTCAGTTTTCAGTTTCTCTCAGAGCAAGTCCCCCTCCTACACTCAGTAGCTGGGGTGCCTTTGGGAAATACTGCATGCCCTTAAATCACATTCATTGAGCTAAGGCTGCGTGTGTATTTTCTCATAGTGGCTGCCAACATTTTTGGTGGGGCTTCCCTATCTCTCTCAGCCAGTCAGCTGAAGCCCTTTTGCAGGCCTGCCGGCCTTCGCTCAGTCTTACTGGTACTGACAACAAAAATACTCCCAGTCCCGTCTGACTTAACAGTTGTACGTAATGGCTGGCTAACTAAAGGGCCACATGTACTCTGAAACAAATAACATACACAGTTCATAAAATACACTGTTTGTATATACAAGTGTATTTGCTGGCCATGATATAATTTACATTACAAGGTTACATGTTTTGTCTGTCTGGACATTGCTGACTGGATAACTGCTCTCTTTGGAGGATAACCATGTGGATGACTGGATAGTAAACCTGGATACATTCAAATTAAAAGCTACAGTGGCCTAAAATTGATCCTACACCTTTCAAATCACTCAAGCCGATTTGTTTAGTGATTTATATAGAGCTGGTGTTGTACATACTGAAGACTAGTTTTGCCAGTTGGAGAAACAGTGGGTCAGTGCGAAATACACTAACTGGTCCTAGCAACAGCTTGTGTCGACTGAAATGATGTCTGCAGAATCACTACTTGCTACTGACTAGTTAGGGCAGAACAAAAACCCTAACCCACCACTCCTTATATGAAATTGACTAACATGAATGTACATGTTTCAGGCTGAATGAGCAAAGTTAAACTAAATGGTGATTTGGGCTGAATATCAGGTAGACATTAGCTTTTCTTTTAACAAAACTAACAAAACCCAACCGCTAACAGTGCTTCAGTGTTTTTAGCTAAATCTGCGTTGTCTGTGGTTACACTGGAGTTCTTCTCAAAAGAGTTGACAAATGTGACAACACCAGTATGTGTTTTAGTGTGGATGAGGAACCTGAGCGTTTGGAAAAGAATATGAGCACACACTGCACCTGAAATAAAGTTTACTTGGTTAACAGGTTGACAAATCACCAATTTATGTCTGTTCAGTTGTCTGCAGAAACCAGAAAATGAGAGAACACAGATTTTACCAGCTGTTAGCTTTGATGTAAAGAATTGTTGTTTGCTGACCAAAACAGGGCAACAAAGAAGAGATTCAGACCATGAACCTTTAATATGGAAATAATGTGACCAACACGAACATTTGGCAACAGGCTGGGCACCTTAACTTTAGTGCCTGGATAGCTGTTTTACTAAGAAGATAACCTTCTGGTCAACTGGGTAAGTTACTGACTAACTGGAAAGGCTTGATATAACAGAATGAGTGTTCATTTTCTTACAGAATGAGGGAAGCCTTGTGGGAAGTGTGGAATTTAAAAGCGGACGGGATGCTGAGAGGAGCAAGGGAAACAGAGTACATAGAAGCAGAGAGGAGGGTTTATTCTGAGAGAGCAAGTGTGGCACACTACACACGCACACCGCCGGAAAACCACACCAAGGAAAAAGAGGCGAGGACAAGGGAAAGGTTTGTGCAAAAGTGAGGGAACAGCCCATCTCACCTCATTGTTGATATCAAACACTCCCTCCTGGATCTTCTCATAGATCTCCTTAGCTGTGTTGATGAAAGCCTGAGATAGAAACAGAAAGACAGAGAACAGAGGAGATTCAATTCATATTTGTATGTTGGCTCCTGTAAGAAACCACACATCATTAGGAATGCAAAAGAGATTTCCAAGCCAGGTTCATGGAAAAAAACATACTCCACAGACTAACAATACACACAAGATAGCATGAAACAATGGCTTTGATGTAAAGAATTGTTGTTTGCTGACCAAAACAGGGCAGAGATGTCTGCAACAAAGAAGAGATTCCGACCAATGGCCAAATTGTCTGTAATTTGGTAGGATGTGTCATGCACAGGATGTGACAGCTTCACACCAGCACTTGAACATACCACATTTAATAAAAGAGGAAAAGAAAACAGTAACACTACTGCACATTGAAATAAACAGAAACCACTGGCTGCCTGGGAGGCTTGAATAAGGCCCTACAACACTTTTGGAAAAGTACTTGTTTGCTTTTGATCCAGAAAGGAAGTGGTTAGCCTACTTTAGCACAAATTTGAAACAGTTAGCTGTTAACATGCTATATCTTGTTTGTGCAAGCCACACATGCACAGAAATGTAAATATTAAGTTGTGTTTTTACAGGGAGTTGTGTGCTGGAACTATTATTTAATGAACAGCAGCTAGGTGTAGCAACTGTGCCAGAAACAAAAACTTGTGCCCACCAACCTAATCTGGCAACTTGTGCTTTAATCAGTCAGAAGAAACAGTTCCACAAGATGGCTAGCTGCCTTCCCATGACTCCAGTCTTTATGAAACACTAGGCTAACATGTCCTGACTGCAGCTCTGTACACATCTTACACCCAAAGGACACTCATTGACATAATGACTAGCCCCTAACCCTAACCTTAAACATCACAACACATCCCCAAACTCAACCCTTACTCTAACCTACGCCGTAATTTAAACCTAAACCCAAAAATAAAAGGTGAGAATTGGCTGCAATGTCCCAACGATGGCAAAACAAAAATTCATCCACACATACACATAAACAACTAATATCGATCTTCTCATCTCACTACAGCTGGACCAATACTTGAATTTTGAGGCAAATACTGATATTTATAATTGGTAAATATTCAGTAACAATGGCTGATAGTATTTTATGTAAACACACACACAAAATAAACATTGACAGCTGTGTTTTGCTTTAAGGCACCAGACCCTTCCAGTTGCTCAGTATTGTATGATTTTTATACATGTGCAGAGACAAATCCTTGGGCCTTTCTTGAGTTTTGATATATTTTCCAGTGAGAAAGTAACAACATAGACTGTGACTCTGTGTTCAGTCTATCCATGTAATGCCAATTTAGAATCTGTTCTGACATTTTCTGGAGACGTGAGTGCTGCTCATCTGACCGAGTGAGGACACCGGTGTTCCAGCTGCACATTATAGCCGCGCTTCCACCGTCAGAACTTAAAGAATGGTAGACCCTGTGCTTCCCTTAACCTTTACCCAGCATAACTTCATGGGTTGACATGGACCCTCCTACTTTGCACTCTTACTCTACTTACTTTTCCACTGTATTTTGTGCGGTGTCAGTGTCTGTTTAGAGGAGGTAGGGGCTGTGCTCCTCTCACACACAATCACAGCTGAGCAGAGGATATGAAGGATCAATTCACAGTGCAACAATCAGCCAGTAACAGAGCCTGTATAAGCAGTTTATCAAACAGCTGTTGAACATGGAGAACACAGACTTGCAGAACTGGGACATCGTCACCACTGAAGTCCCTGCTTTACCCTAAAACCAGTGAATGAATGTTTGTCATGCCTATTGTTTTTCTTGAATAACGTTCCAACTTATAATAATATCAGCATCATTCCAAATGCCATCAGTAGGTTTTCATGGTCGAGCGATCATATCATCAGGGTCAAACTATCATGGAATATTGCTTTTATGGCATTAAGAAGAAACCAAGTTTCCCTTGGCGGAGGCTTGCACTCTCTAAGTCTAGTTTACATACTGCACTTCCAAGCCCCTTGCCCTAACCTGACCTTACCTCTCAAACAACCTTTAAAGTTCTGAAGACTGGGCAAAATATCATTGCAATGATGGCATCGAACGAGGAACTGTATCCATGAACTGTCAAGTATCTAAACTAAAAAGCAATTCAAATGATATCAATTCAGATCAGACACACTTCTGTTTATGAAGGAACAATAAAAACAGCACATTCAACTGTCTTGACCCACAACAGTGTGTTAGTTAAGTGGAGTAATTTTGAACTGAAAAATTATCTTGAAATCCTCTCTGACACCCTGCTGGAAATAGCCTGAGAAGCCCAGGGGTTCTTTCTGGTGCACACTGTCCTCTTTCCTTCCTTCAGCACATCACTGCTTGTTCATTACTTCTCCACATCATCATATGTTTGCTTTTTTGAGTTAACTGAAATATTAAGGTCAGTGTATAGATTATAAAATAAGAAAACGACAGACAGACTGAGAAAACTAAAGTGATAACATTTGGAGGACAGATGAGAGAAAATATTTAAAGGAAAAAATAAGAAAGGACTGAGGGGAGCACAGAAAAGCAGCAAAAACGGTGGGAGATGAACAAGAATTAAAACAAATAAGTGAAATAAGTGAAAACGCAATGCAAATAAATGAAACAAATAAACAAGAAAGCAGTAATGCAGAGTAGATAAAAAAGCGAGAACTAAAAACAGAAACAAGTAGAGGTCGAGGACTGGATCTCAACAAAGGAAGGATTTAAGGAAAGAAGATAGGATGAGAACATGAGAAGATGCTTACAGGAATCTCTCTCTCTAAGGACCATCCCATCAGCCCTGGTGTCCACACACAAACCCTGACGACAAACCCAGCACACTGATTGGCTGCTGGATGTCACTGAGGGGAGATGGGATGGAGGTTATGAATATGTATGAACTATAACTGGTTGATACACTGCTAGAGAGAGAAAGGAGGAGGATAGAGGAGATGGAAGGGAAAGACAGAGGAAGGAACTGAGGGAGATGGAGGGAATGAACACAAGAGGAAAGAGACATGGAGGAGAAGGGGAAGAAAGACATGTTAGAGGAGGGGTGGGAGGGGAAGGTGAAGGAGGATGGGAGGGAGGGAGGGAGGTAAAAAGCAAATGATGGATGTCAAAGGATGAGGAGGGATGGAGCGAGGAGTGATGAAGGGAACAGAGGAGAGGAGTGGTATCAGGAGGATTCTGAGGACACTAATGAGACAAATTAATCATACCACACATACAGTCCCCCCCCTCCCTCATCTTGACTCCAGTGAGAGCTCTACTCAGCAGCGGCATTGGTGTGTGTTTGCATGAAATAGGCCAGGCAAGAAAGGGTATAAAAGAAAATCAATGTAAACACACACACAGGTTTTGAGTTCCATCTTTGTGATGACACTTGATATAATCCATTTCCTAGCCCCTTACCCGAATCTCAGCCATCACAACAAAATCCCTAAATCCTACCCTTACTTTAATCTAATTTTACCTATAACCCTAAACCTAAACTCAAGTCTTAATCCTCAACCATAACCTTTAGTATTGGACACAGGCAATACACAAACAACTGTTGTGTCAAGAAATGAGAAACGGCCCGAAATGTCCCCACTCCCACAATAAAAAACAAACTGGTGCTCATAGTAACTGGTGCTCATAGTGATCACCGCTCATAGTGATCACCGTGCAAGTACACACACACACACACACACACACACACACACACAGTGGTTTATAAGATGGAATTATTTATGTGACTGGATTAGCGAGGAATGGTTCCCAGAGGACACCACCATGCATTCATTACACACAACAACACCAGGGGTGTGTCTCTGTGAGGTGCGGAGCAGTGTGATCACTGGGCTAACTTAGGTTCAAGATGCTAATGGCAAGCATGCTAAGCCGTGACTCTACGGGTAAAAGGTCAAGTCAACAGGAGGTTTGCTCTAAATGTGCCAATTCATTCAGGAGGAACAAACTATTCACAGATACAAGGTAGAACATTACATAATAGGTAAGATTTTAGTAAAGGCTTAAAATAAAAAAAATTTTAAAAAAAGAAGCTAGATTTGACTTTTTTGTTCATCACAACTCAGTGGACCATTCAAGACTATAATGTGATATTTATCATTAAATGTAAATTAACCAATATTTCCTTTATAACGGACACCCAGCAAAGTCATCGGTTTTCTGATTTCAATTAACATACCTGTTGTAAAGAGGTTAATGTTACTATTGCATGTGATGTTGACAGAGAGCACCTCAGTGGTGGTTATGAGGACTGCAGGGCTGTAGCCACCAGTGACGCAGGGTTTCTTCAGTGTTCACCAAGTTACATTTTAATTGATTAGCTAATGTGACCCAGACCCAGATAAATAACATAAAAAGAACAGATGGGTTATCCAATGAAAAATGATTTGTGCAATTAAGTTACTGTAGCTAGCAGTAGCACCAGTGTTTGCTACAGGTCTGAGGGTGCCAACTCAATTCCACAAAAAAAGAACCTGGAGATGCAATGACTGCAATCGTCTTGGCTCCAATATGTTTTTTTGTTTTGTTTTTTTTTTAAGTCTGCTGCTGATTCCTAAAAACTGTAATTGACAGAATACACAGACATTTTTTTTATGTTTCTTAATGAAAAAATATAATTAAAATAAAACACTGTAAAAAAGTTTTACATTTCCATCTTTCTCTCAGGCTTTTTTAACAAGCCTCCAACTAAAAATGAAGTGCGACAGTTGCACTTCTCCAAATACAAACAGGTGTACCATTTGTAGGAGGTATGGACATAGTTTCCCTTTCAGTGTTCCCAGGAGCACAGTGGCCTCAATAATTGTGAAGTGAAATCAAAAACACTCTTAAGCAACTTGGCGGTCTGGCCAAACACGCAATAAGGGACATGGACAGGGAGGAAAGAAACTAATGGTCACTCTAACAGAACTTCAGAAGTCCTCTGCAGAGATGGGGGAACCTGCCGGAGGGACATCTCAACAGCACTCCATAAATTAAGGCCTTTATGGTAGAATGGCAGAACTCCACAGCCTGCTTGGAGTTTATCAAATATCGTAATTTCCGGACTATAAGCTGCACTAAATGTAAGATGAAAAAACATGTTGTACATAGCCGCAGGTGTCCACGTTGTAACAGGAGATATTTCGACAGCCAGATCGATCGCCTGTAACTTGAAGCGACATCATATGCGTTTCGTTGTGTGTAGTCCATGATGAGGGTGTGTGCATGAAGCGACAAAAGTAGCGGCTTGTAGTCTGGAAGGTACGGTAGCATTTAAAGGGCTTCAGGACAGGTCTCTGGCTGTCTTTGAGTGCCCCAGTCAAAGCCTAGACTTAAAACATCTGTGGAGAGGCCTGAAGATGGCAGTTCACAGACATGTCCCATCCCATATGACAGAAGAGGATCTGCCAGGAAGAACGAGATAAACTGCCCAAATCCAGGTGTGCATCGCTTGTAGAGACTTACCCAAGAAGACTGGAAGCTCTAACTGCTGCCAAAGGGAGTGCTACAAAGTACTGAATTAAGGGTCTCAATACTTGTGTAAATAAGAGATTTCAGTTTTTAATCTTTAATAAATGTATAAATATTTCTAAAAACATGTTCTCCTGCTGTCATTATGGGTTACTGAGCATATAGCACAATAAAGTGTGCAAAGGGGGACAGGTGGGGTCTAGCATTTTAGGAACTCAGGATCAGATAAAAACACTTCTGAGTAATTAGATCATTTTCAGTAATCAGGGTTGAAAATATTGGGTGCATTGGTAAAACTCTGTTCAGGTGTGTGTGTGTGTGTGTGTGTGTGTGTGTGTATGTGTGTGCGTGTGTTATTACCTCCTCTACATTAGAGGCAGTCTTGGCTGAAGTCTCCATGAATATGAGACCGTGTTCTCTGGCAAATGCTTCACCTTCTTCCTTCTTCACCTCTCTCCTCGACTCTAGATCACTAAAACCGCATAGACATACACATTAATGAAATACCCTAACATGCTTTCAATCAGGAAGACTGTCAGCCAAAAGTCCAAAAACAGTATCATTTAGTACACTGATCTGAAATTCTAGTGTAACTGACCAATCTTCTCATGTATTAAATCAGGAGTTGAGCTTCATTTCATGATGGCGTATCACCAATAACAGCAGGTAAAGATGACTCAGACTTCTTGTTTTGACTAAAAACCTATTTTTACAGACCACTGCCCTCTGTTGCTAGCAGGCTAAAGCTCCATGTAATATTAATGCTGATGTTAATTTACTTACCTAACCACTTCTACTATTACACTGGTCGCTATGGTGTACAAGAATACCTGGTAGTTTTGATCCAGATGAAGAACAGATCAATGCAGAATCAGCTTGAAGCTGTCTGCTATTCCACCAACAGCACTCGTTTGACGACATAATCTTACAATACTATCTTATGTAACTCCAGCTACAGAGTGAGCAAAAAGTGATGTGAATAATCAGTGCAGGTTTGTTACAAATATTAAACAAACCATCTACAGCAAAATGTTCTTAAATACCATTGGTAGTTTCCACACACAGTCTGTGGCCCAATCACAAATAGAGAGCACAGTGCAGCCACCTAGCAGCAAAAAGGATCAGAAAGGATCTTACCTCTTGTTGCCAATGAGCATGATGACCATATTTGAGTTGGAATGCTGGCGAGCGTCCTCTAACCAGGTCGTCAAGTGGTTGAAGGTGTCCCGTCTTTCAAAACAAACACAGACACCACTTGGATCAAAATGAAAACATCACAGATAAGGCACACTCATGTCTGTACTTCTACTTTGTGAGCACACTCACTGACATAATGCATTCTACAGCCCATTACCCTAACTTGAACCATTCATTAGTTATACTGCTTATCCTTCAGAGGGGTGCAGGGGGCTGGAGCAGAGCGAGAGATGGTACACCTCGGACCCCATCTATTATATGGCTGACACACAGAGATCCAGAACTATTCACATTCATATGTATGAGTAATTTAGATAGGCCAGTTTTCCACACATGACTTTATTATACAGTGGATCAATTTATAAGCTACTGATATCATGAAACTTAGTCACAATTAGCACTTTGTTAGCTAAGGACAATTTACAGCTGATTTTGCTCCAGCCTCTTCTTGTTCCACTTTGCTGTCCTCCAGCTCAAGGCACACTGTCTAAAGACCCTGTGGTGACCCCTAGAGGGTTTAATGTCCACTGTGCCCCACTATAAAGGCTAGTTAACTCACTGCATTTGCAGATTAGGTCAGAGCTAGCAACCCAGAGATTATTCTTTTGAGGACATTTATAAACATCAGGACATTAGTTATTTAATATAGAGGAAGATGGTTGAGGGGAAATTTTGACTTATGGTTCAAATTTGTGCAGAACAAAAAGGTCACAAAGTCATGAAAACCGTTAGGAATCAATTCATGGGGATCATAAAAATCAATGTGGTCCGTACTGATCAATACAATTTGCTTTGTAAATGGATGAGCACCATCCTGCTGGTAGCAGAGTTTTGAAGAGAGGCAGCAAAGCGTCTGAAGCTACATGCTGTTTTTCCTCAGGTGCATTTTATTGAACATCTTTGCAACATGGCTCTAGGGATGGGACTGCTGGTCTGTCAGTTCAGTTCCCAACGTTAACCCAGACATTTGGTCCAACATGGAGTTTTATACAGACATTCATGGTGCACACATGATGGAGCCCAATGACCTGATGATCCCCTGACTTTTCTCAGGTGCCGCTTACGTCTTGCAGTTTTTGTTTTGAGTTAAATGTCTTAACAATTATTGGATGTTCTCCAGCATGAATTGTAAAATCTTGGGTGATATGCTAACTTTTCATCTAGCACCACCACCAAGTCAACTTTGGTTTATGACCAAATACCTGGCAAACTAATGACAGTTCCATCAACCTTAAAGGGATGGTCATACTTAACTTTGTCTAACTGCATTTGCGGTCTTAAAGGGATGGTCATACTTAACTTTGTGTAACTGCATTTGCGACCTCCTGTTATGTATATTTGTCTTTGTTGTCACTACACTGCTGTTATGTACGTGTGTGTTTGTGTATGTACATGTTTGCTTGTGTTTTATATATGCAAACTTCTGTGTTTTAATCACTATATGATTTATCTTATCTTTTATTTTAATAAAGCACTTTGTAACCAAGTGTATTTATTAGTACTACACAAATATATATAAAAAAAAATGCATCATCCAATATTTGTAACCCCATCATGACTTGCAAGCTGTAAATTTCCATGGTGATAAAGGACTGGTTGAACTGGGACCATTTATGTGTTTCTAAGCTATTGTCAGGACACAGTCTTATCAAAGCAACTTCACAATGTTCCTGAACACAGAGCTTGGCTACAGAGTGTACAGGGGTCTTATCTGTTTGGCCGTGTTACCTTGTGATGTCATAGACTAGCAGTGCTCCTGCAGCTCCTCTGTAGTAAGACCTGGTGATGGACCGGAACGACTCCTGACCAGCCTGCAGAAACACATACATATATTAATAAACAGAAATTGAAATCTGAATAATTAAAATGACCAAGGACAGCTGCTGATCCTTTCATCTTCTAACTGGTCCTGCTGGAGTCTGACACCAGTTCAACAACCCCGTTCCTTTACATGTATAGCACATTCTCCCATAGATCCTGGCTAGCTACAGGTCCTCAACATGTTCTGTACCAGTCCTGGTTCTCTGGCAAATCCAGCTCCAGGTTTTCAGTCAGCTGAGGAGAGGAGAGGACAGAGCAGAGCCTGTAACTGAGTAAAATGGAGTTCACTCTTTTTTCTCCATTCATCTGTCACAGTTCCTTTCTTTTTGTCTCAAGCGTCTAACTTCCCAGGTCCCAATATGGATGGTCATGTTAAGTGTACTGTTATATCATCTCACCCTGGGTGTTCACTCCCTCTCCCATTATTAGCCCTTCACTGTCTCATCTCAGCTGCACTGTCTCCTCCTTGGATCACTTATCTTTCATTCTTTCTCTATGAATCCATAGGCCTGCCCTCTTTCATCATCTAGCATTTTTACCAACCCCCTGCCATGTCTATTCATCCTCTGTCTCCATCTGATGTACAGTAACAATGTGCCTGTGTTTCTTCCAGGCCAGTGTACAAAAAAAGCAACTCTATCCTAGCGGCTGGAGCCCTACACTTCTCTGACCTCATCTGAAAAACCATACAGTCAGTAAGTCAGTTACAGAGGACCAGGCAGCCATTTTGTCACCCAGGGACCCAGTCTGTTGGTCAATGGAACAGTCACTCAGGGGGCAGCCAACCAGCCAGTAATGCTATTAGTGTATAAATGATAAATAAGGGTGAAAGGAAGGGAACACTGTGTCTGTCTGCCATCTGGCCTACATACTTGTGCGCGCAAATACACACACACACACACACACTTATTCATATGGCATGTGCAGCCTACACAATGACTACACAATGAGCTGGTTTCTGTAACCATTTGGTGGTGATGTATTGTACAAGTCCAGTAAGCAACAAAGTCCTTTGGCCCTGCTGGTTATCATTTTAACCATTTAACCATCTAATACCTGACAAAGTGATGATGATTATCTAGTTGGTAGGACAAAACCTGCAGTAGCTCAATCAGGTTATGAGATTCAGCACTGACATAACTGTTCTGGACCTTTTACTGTCACTGCTCCTCTCACGAGGCATTTTTAATGAAGATCTGGCTCCATCTGCTGGTCAACGGGTTAACTGCAACCACAGGACAGTAGACATGCAAGGTTCACCGTGGGATTTCAGGAAGAGGCAAAAGAAACTGACACATCCAAATGAAGAGTTATGACAAGATGGAATGCCAAGGATTATTCTGCATTTTCTAGGCTAAAGGACAGTAAGATTAGCACTGAAGTACCTTTAAGATGTGAAGATTTTGACCCGTTTTGTTATGTTGACACTTTTAGATCAATTCACTTATCTTCTCTAATCTGAACTTTTGGAAAGTACTCAGTATTTGAGAGAACTTAACCTGATTTCATATTGTTTTTGTCTAATTTGAAAAGAAAAGAATCACTTTTTAAAAACTGAAATAAAGAGTTTAAAGTTGAAAACTTTAATGCATGTATGCAGAGACTGCAAATCAGTTAAGGCCCCTTGGATAATTAAACATTTTTCAGGTCTACTTACAGAATCACGAATGTGCTGAGACCATGAGTTATTAAGTATATAATATACATAACAGATGTATTACCGTATCCCAGATCTGCAGTTTGATCTGTTTGCCATCTATAGTGATCATCCTTGCTCCAAACTCCACACCTAGACACAAATAATAAAAATGAGGTCAAGGATATACCACTGCTGAAATAATAGTGCATCATTTCATTAATCATATGATATTTATTGTTGTGTGCAATCAGCTGATAGGGAAGTGAAAACTGACTCATGTTTGACCAACATGAACTTCAAAAAAAAATGGATGTGTGTGTTTTTGAAAAATATTAATGATTCATCACACAAAAAGACCCAATTTAGACTTGGTTCTAAGGTGCGACCACCAAGACGGTGGTCCGATCAGGGATCCAATCATTGAAATTTGGCCATGTATCTTCTGTAGTGTAAACACTAATGCGTCCTGATGAGTCTCTGACAAGGCCATTCGAGGAAAATATGTGATCAGTGCAGGACGTGGTGGTTGCTTTGGTGAGAGCCGACCAACACTCAAAAAAGAAAAAAATCTAGAGAAACATCTGATACAAATCCGTCAATGTACTGTGGAAACTTTTATAATACATCCATGTACAAATGTGATGCTCATCTTCTTCTTTGGTTAGGGAGACTGCTGGCACTTGTCTGGTAACAGGCTAAAGTAATAATTGTACCCATGGCCTTTCAATATTTAAGTGGAAGTCAAGGTCAAAGTGTTTATTGTCATATGCACAGTTAGGAAACGTGTTTCCCTGTATAATGAAATTCTTACTTTGCCGTGTCGCAGCAGTAGCGAAACCTGAAGACAAGTGGTCAGCGGGGCACCTTAGAGATATGCATATTGACAGGTGTAAACGGTGATGTATCTCAGCTGTCCACTTACGCTCTGATCATCCAAGACGCATTTTAAAACCAAGTCTAAACAGGGCCGAGAAGTATTAACTGGGGCCACTGTAATTTGTTATGTGTCTGGAAATAAATTCTAAAGTTATATAAATGTTGTAATGTGTTGAACTGTCTAAAAATATAAATGCATGCTCCTAATCCCAAACACCACAGGACCTTTTACAGGTTTAACATTTTACTGAAGCATGCAACAAGCACAATGAATGTATGTACAGAAACCTCTGCAATGAGGAACATGCTGATCAAGATGTCACTTTACCTCCCAAATCAAAACTCAAAATATAAACAATAAAGCGAAACACAAAATCTTGAATGACCTGTGTATGCTGCAATCCTACTAAAATCCTTCACTTGGGTCTATAGTAGGAAGGTGTAAAAATGCCACTATAGAGACAGAGTGCAATGCGTCATACTCAGAAAACCCACTGGGTGTGAAAGCTCTATAATGCATGAAAGCACCTCTTTTATAATTCAGTCTTTCTGCAAAAGACTTAAAAATGCCTAAAAGCAGCTGTGTGGTGGGACGCACTACCAAGAAGACAAAGAACAAAAGTTGCCAAACCAAGCTTTAAGAAGAAAAAAGTTGGATAAGACATGAGGCATCCTGACACTCAATATGTCTACGCGGGCAGCAGGCATCTTGGTATGTTTGCAGGTGTCTGAGCCAACTACAGTACCTTACAAACACATAGCTCAAGGGAGGAAAATTAGCATTACAATTTATTTATTTTCAAAACAGAGCCAGATCTAGAGGGAAGTTGGGGTTCAGTTTATATCTAAAATGATGATGGACGAGTTAGCTGTTAGAATGTTAGCAATTTACTGTGGTTAGCTAAGGCACCTAGAAAAATGTTACTGCATAGCTTTTTGATTTATGATAAAAGCTGCACATTATAAATGGTCGTATACTTGTACAGCGCTGTTTTATTTGGCCATTCACACATTTGCACACCGGTGTTATCACCAGGAGAAACTGGGGGTTCAGTGTCTTGCTCAAGGACACTGACACATTGACTGGCCAAGCCAGGAATCAAACCACTAATCCTCCAGGTAGGAGACAACCCTCCTGAGGCACAGCCGCACCCACATCATCACAATGCTTTATCTTAACTTACAGAATTATAACCTAAACTGACATTTGAAAGTTTGACTTAACAGTGACAAATGCTTGATGCACTTGAAGGCATATCCAGTGTCAGGATCCCCCAGTTCCCCTCTTCTTCCTGCTAACACCTCACTTTGCTTTCTTCTTTTAGGCATTTTTTGTTTTTGTTTTTTGTAAAAAGACTGAACTATCAAAGAGGCACCTTCACTCAGTACAAAGTCAATGGAGTGAGATGACTGGTGCCCCCCCTCCTGGTGTGGGCATGGCCTAAATGTGCTCGCGCTCTCTCTCTCTCTCTCTCTCTCTGTTGGCTGGTTCTCACACACAGGTACCATCAAATGATCGCCAAAGTACACCTGTGTGATGTAGTTGCTTTACAAGTTAAACAAATGATGAAATCACTTTACCTAGATCCACAAGCAATTTAACTGCTGCAAAAGCGTTGTCTGCTCATGTTAATTTTCAGATGTTACTGTCCAAGAGTGGTACACAGTTAATTGTTAAACAGTTAAATGTCAATGAAACAGCGCTGAACTGAACAGATGTGAAACAATATCATTTCAGCTGTAATAAATGTTCACATATCACTAGCTTATGGCTGGGACTTGGACAACTCAGTACAGCCTTTAACCATCTCCAGCTGTACTGATTTTGCACTGCAGATGTTTACTACCTTTGAAATAGAGGACTGTGTATCTAAAATTACAATTGTTTTTCATCGCATTTAAAATGAATGCATTTCCAGAGATGGTGCTGCATTTGTGATGGATGTGTCCCCTTACCAATGGTGAGGTCATGCACTGGCTGAAACCTCTTGTCTGTGAACTGTAGTAATAGACATGACTTCCCCACACCTGAAAAACAAGCACACAGGGTTAAAGGGTGTCTAATGAAGCCAGCCTGAGCAGTGATTATCAAGTCATACAGATAGTGAACCCATTCGATTCATCATCTAAGGTGTTGCATGTCATGAGCATAAAACACCCCAAATACCGACATCATTTCAAAATCAATTACATTTCCAAACTCAGAACTTCAACGCAGCAAACAGATACTCTGCTGTTTGTAGATGACAAAACTAGGCAGGAAGTTCTCAATACACAACTTTCATTACTGTTAACTTAAATGAATTGTTCTATAAATAATACATTTACATTTAATATGGGAGTATTTGAGTGATTATCTAGTTATAACAACCCAAGCAGGGAGCTTCCACACTACTTCTCCTATTTAGCTTGAGTCAGCTCATTTAACTTGAGTTAACTGACCAGCTGGCTTCTTTGTAAGTGTGATGCCACTGTTGTTTTGCTAATGGGCACTGATGAATCTGCTCCTTATTAACACTACTCTATGACTTTAGCTCTGAATTTTACAGACTGCCACAGATCCATAGACAAAATATTATAGCCATGCCATGTGGTGTCATTAGGTTTAGTAACTCACTTAAAATAAATGCAGTGGATCACTGGATTACCAAGTCAGATAGCGAGGCCTGCAAACTGAGTTTAGAAAGTCTAAGATTTTATAGCATTATGAAATATTTGTAAGAAAAATGTTATACGCCATTGTTTTATTGTTTTAACCTTACTGATCATCATGTCTGATCATGTCCAGAGACATATAAGTGTGCATGTGTGAGAGAAAAGTCCTCCAGATGTCAGTATGCAATTGATGCAAGGACAGCAATGACGCTGCCCAAAGTAACAAGCTGACAGAGATTCACAGAGGTGAGACAAAGGGACACAGTCTTCCTCCTCCACGGTTTCCAAGGGTTACCACTGCCAGGCAGTGGAATAGCTAAGCAGGAGATAATAATGTTAAGAGATCGACCGGAAGGACGGAAAGATCACAACAAGTGCAGCTTTATGGATGTGCCACAGTCACGTTATTGCCACCTCCAACACACAGGCACATGCTTACAATACATTCTTTAGACCTAACAACAAATGCAGAGGAAATGTTGAGTAATTTAGCCGCGATTTGCTATCTTCCAAAATCAAAATCAAAGCCTGGTGTGCTTTAAATGGTGAGAGTGGCTACAATCATAGCCATGATTAGAGGAGAACAATGTATATTATGTTACAGTGCGAGACCTTTCCCCCTCTGTGTAGTTGAAGTAATAACGTCTCACCAGAGCAGAAGCTGATATCAAATAGACATTTAAAAAAAAATATTTGGAAAGAGCCACTGGGCTTTCAGAAAATAAAAAGCCAGCCAGGTGAATAAATGTCTACTTCAACAACAGTGACTAGTCAATGGACCAAGCAGACACGTGTCTGACTCAACAGATGAGAACCAATGAGATAAGCATTAGCCAACATTCTACTCCCTTCCGCTCTAATTGTTGGGTCAACACCAGCTACAAACCTCCATGTTAATAAGCAGACCAAGATGTTCCTCAGTAGTGTACTCAGCCTGGGAGGGGACTAATCGATGGTTGACTTTAGGAGATCACGCAGTCTTGCTTTTTTTTCCTATGTCCCTCCCCAGTCTCAGTAGAAGTCAGGGCTCTATGCTACCATTTATTCTGAGGGGCACTTGTGCTCCTAAATGAAAAAAATGTAGGGGCAGTTTTTTTTTTTTAAAGAAATAACATTTCGGCAACTGCTCTTTGCCCATCCTGTACTGTTTCCTGAAGCTGTGACATAATTGACAGATGCCTGGTTGCAACAAACTATACAACATGAGGCCTCCAGTCCAAAGCTATCATTAACTAACTAAGGAGTAAATTTTGCAAACCAGTATAATGTGACATGAAGCACAAACTTTGCAAAAACCTCAAATTACTCCCATATTAATACCATAATCATGTTAGGTCACTAATGTTACCAAAACAAATGTGTTAGCTTTAGATGCTAACACATCCAGAAGGAAGAAACTGAAAATTTGAGTTTATTGGCTGCTGTTAATGCTCTCCATCTCAAAAACCAGTGTTTACCCTGGTTTTTCCTTCTCTTTGTCATGCTCACTCTGCAAAAAAAAAGTTTGAAACCTTTAGCAGAGGAGAGCTCCTCCATGGCTGGCTGTTTGAAATGACTACTCATAGTACAAAAATAGCTACTTATAACCTTGGCTAGGTAACAGGTGGGGCTAAATTTACAGACCTGGTTTTGACAAAACAGAAAAGCTAAAATAACAACAGAAGGGCTGTAGGCTGGTGTGCTTTAAATGGTGAGTGGGGCTACAATCACAGATCGTCATGGAGGAGTTAGTATCGCAGAAAACCACCACATCCTGTCCCACTGTCAATTGATTTATCAGACTGTGTAAAATCTTAGTTAATGCACCTTTTAAAGTAATATACTGAAAAAAGTAGACATTATATTTTGACTGATGCCTTGAGTTGCTTGAGAGGGAAGAACAGACGCACCTGGCTCAACTGGGGTCTGATTGGTCAGCGGGTAGTCAACCTCACTCACCGTCATAATTGCTTTCAGTGAGAATATCTGGTCTCTAGACCTTCATGGCAGCTTACAAAGATCACTGATGAAGGTGAGTTAAACCAGCCTTTTTCCTACTCAATACACTTTGGGCAAAGGTACCAACTCACAAGAAGAACAGTGTGCGTTCTCGCAAATACACAGACAAGTATCACAGAGATTGATCTTCATTCTCCTCGACTGTGCAGCTGTTCCCTGCAAGTCCTCTCATCTGAGCTCTGCACATCTGCATGCCTCTGCAACAAATACCCAGCATTACAACTGTCTTTATGTTGCAATAAAGGTTTGTCCATTCTCAAGCTTCTAGCAATGTGAAATGTGTAATGGACAGTCAGGAGACATGGCGGTGATATTAACCCATATTAAGTGAAGCATGGACAGAGCCAGTGGTAACCAGCTATGAGAGGCTAACGTTAGTCTCATCAGGCTTGCTAATGTCAACCGATCTTGGTGTCCTGCCTAATAAATCACCAATAGGGACGGGCCAGAGGACATCATATACAATATCAACATCATATTCCGACAAAACCCAATGTGATTATCTGTAAAGTCCAACAAACTAATGGGGAATGCAATGTGAATGGGTCATTCAAATGAAATGTGGTTAATCAGAAGACCTATTTTTTTTAATTCATCCCTAAACACTATATAAGCAACTATTAGCTATAGAGATATTAAAATGAATGAAACACCTGTTCATTAGAACTAGTATTAAGAAAAGTGTAAGTGTGTAACTTTTTGTTTTGAAACTTGCTCACATTTTCTCATGCAATAGTTTTGTTGCAAAATATTCAATGTAATTAAGTCAATATTTTTAAATACACATTAACCTCTATATTTTAGAACATTTTTCACTGAGAATGTCTGTGCATCTCATGGCTACCAGTGATCCACAATGTACCACAAGAGTTTCATGGAACCGTCTATTTTTGGAGGTTTACAGCATGTACAGAGACTGTAATTTTCTGTTCAGAGCCAGTTTGTCTTTCTGCCAAACAGATCTGTGGACAGGTTCACTGGAGGCCATGGGCTTAAGAGAAAATTCAAACTAAAACAGAATTCACATTGCTTTTCTAAAGACCAGGAGAGTTCACTCAATAACTGTTTCCTTCTGTAACTCCCAACTATAGCTGTGCATCACAGAGAACAGTCTGTCCTTGTGCCATGGCACCCCTCCACTAACCATGAATATGTCTGATTTTTTGAATATTATTTTGGAACTCTTTTAAAACTGTAGATGCCATACAGCACAGAGCTGGCATAAAATAAGAGAAGGGGGATAACATGCTAAAAAGATCACCAACTGAACTGAAATGCAACTAAAGACTTAGAATGTTAAACTGAAGAAAAACACTAGGGGAAAGAGGTGTTAGCCATGAATCTTCTTCTTCTGTCTCAAAATGCTGCCTGCAAATTAAATCTTCAAAAACATGCATCTACAGTGGGTACGGAAAGTATTCAGACCCACTTAAATTTTTCACTCTTTGTTATATTGCAGCCATATGCTAAAATCATTTAAGTTCATTTTTTTCCTCATTAATGTACACACAGCACCCCATATTGACAGAAAAACACAGAATTTGACATTTTTGCAGATTTATTAAAAAAGAAAAACTGAAATATCACATGGTCATAAGTATTCAGACCCTTTGCTCTGTGACACTCATATTTAACTTAGGTGCTGTCCATTTCTGCTGATCATCCCTGAGATGGTTCTACACCTTCATTTGAGT